AGAAGACCGCCCTCCTCGTAGATGTGAGCATCCCAGCCGATAACAACCTCCAAGAGAAGACCAGGGAGAAGCTGGAGAAATACTCCGAACTGAAAGTGGAAGTGGAACAGTTGTGCGGAATGAAGACCAACATAGTTCCGATCATCATAGGCACAACTGGTGTCGTCCTGAAAGACCTCAAAGGACATGTCAGGAAGCTGGAATGTGAAATATCACTGGATATCCTCCAGCGTACAGCAATCTTAGGCACGGCCAGCATCCTTCGCCGTGTCCTTCAGAATTAAGACGAGTATGAGGTCTGGGATGTGGTTCATCCCACTTCATATCTCCAATACCGGCAGGTGCCGTGGAAGGATTTATTTATATATATACAGGGTGGCCCATAAGTCGCTTTACCATTTAAAAATCTAATAAATTTTTTGTTTGTTAATTTTTTGTATTCATTTTTTATAATATAAAGTACAGAAAATGGGATTTTTTTTAAAAACTATGTATGAAAAATGATGTCAAGTAAATGACCCCCATTTTCCGCTTCGCAAGCACAGGCTCTTTTAATTTTCCATGACGGCTCTTAACATCTCTGACTCCAGCGCTTGAAATTCTTCCCGCATGTTGGCCATAAGCTGCTGGATGGTCCCGGGCTTATTGACATACACCCGATCCTTCATGTAGCCCCAAAGAAAAAAGTATGGTGCTGTCAAATCGGGCGAACGTGGAGGCCAATTGAAATCTGAATTTCGTGAAATTATTCGCTCTTCGAAAATCTGCCGGCTTTAATTATCGGCTTTAAAATATCGGCTTTAAATCATGCACCAATTGCACGTTGAATGTGCACATGTGTAAATGTGTTTGCATGCGCAGCAACGAAGTCAGTGAGATTCCAAGCTCGCGAGAACATCTTCAAGTGGACGTTCCTGGTTCTCCCTGAATGCTCTGCTGCACACGTTCAATATTTTCCTGCGTACGTGCTGAACATGATCTCCCGGCTCGTGGAAAATGACTAACAGACCCCTGTTGCTGGAAACGTTGAACCAACTGACGTATTGCTGGTTTCGTGGGCGGATTCCTGACGTGGAAATAGCGCATGTATGCTCTCTGTGTTAGAACAATGGAGCGCTGATTTTCGAAATAAAATTCAATGATTTTTACGCGCTGCTCCGTCGTGAATTTTTCTGTAAGAAATTTCCAGGGAACAAATTTTCAAAATCTGAAGAAAAAAAAGTTTAATTAGTGGCAAAAAGTTATTAAATTTTAAATGGTAAAGCGACCTATGTGCCACCCTGTATATTTAGGTTCGGCCTATTTTACGAAGCCAAAAGCAATTAGTGAATTTGCTAACACCTTTTCATTTGTGGGCCTCTCTCTCACATCCTCAATTTGAACTGTCAGCTACCTCACGAGGACGAAATTAGAGAACCTACTTTCTGGGAGCTGAAGACCTTTCATGGCTCTGGGGACGAATCTATAACGCCCATGTCTCGGTCGCAATTTGACTTGGAGCTATAAGCTGTTTGTCGCATCCGTTCCTCAAAAAAAGTTTCCTACCTGATTTAATAAAATTTTTGTTTTCGAACACGGTGTCTTTAACAATATGCCCCCAATTCATGTGGAATTAACGTCATTTCTGTATTTGTCAATGCAGGGAATTCAGGCTCAATAACAATGAAGCTGTGAATGAACTAGCATTTTCCTCGGATGACTTCTTACAAAGCATATTCGTGCAGAAGACCATCGTGAGAAGAATTCTTCTTTTAAGACGTCCACTGAAACTGAAACAACTGAATGTCTGGAACAGTCAACTGGAAGAGTTCGACTTCGAAGTCCTCCCTCACTTGATTAATCTGAGACTCCTAGACCTTCATGGGAATACCTTGACGAGAGTGCCACATTCTGCAAGCATGAGTCTTGAGGAACTCCATCTTTATGACAACAAGATCACCACTTTCGAAGAAAAGTTATCAATGCCCAATTTGAAGAATCTTAACATTGGTAAGTACACCCTGTGAAAAAAGAATTCCCCCGGATTGCCACACATGAACCGTTGTATCTTGATTGGAAATTCTTCGATTTCTTCCATGACTAATATTCTAAAATGTTTTGCAGTATAAGACGAGAAAAGACTCAACTATCCATCGTAATGGGATTGTTGCGTCAATAACTCTAGGATGCATTGTGATGAAATGTATGCATATTCATGAAGCAGCAACATTTTCTACATTGTTTCTCTTGACCACCGTATCATTGAAGCTGAGCTTCAGGTCTTGCATCTTCTTATGATAGCGGATGTCACACACACAGGGCCACAGATAGGACGTGGGGGGGGGGGCAAAGGAAAGCACATCAGAAAGGGATTGCCAGGAGGGAGGGATATGAAATATACGAAAATGGAATAGGGCGGTAAAAATGACGAAAAAAAGTGATCACTTTTTTTCTTCGCTGTTTCGCAATGTTCGTCTCAAAATCTGTCAATCTCGACTTTTCACCTTCAACGAAAGTACTACAGTAAGATGTGGCAGTTTATGCTTGAGAAATCTTGTATTCTACAACTATAATATGAGTGGAGATTTCTAATATAATATTCATATAATATTCCAATTATGTCATTATTTTTATGAAACAACTATTGATCAATTATTGGCGAATTATACTTTTTTTCAATAACCATATGAATTTGAAGATTAAAGCATAGCTCAGAATGAGAAGATTCCTATCCTATCCAACTATATTTATTCCCGACCTAACAAGGTTCTAGCTTCAATATGACGAATTACAACCTCTGGATCTTGCCCAGATCTTGTAGATGCAATAGGCAAAGGCTGAATCGTTTCCTAATCAAAATAATCAAGAGATGAAGAGTAATTCCAAGTTTTGAGTTTGAGTTTCACGATCCCTAGCGTCAATCTGAGCAGTGCTGATCGGTAGTGGAGAGGCATTTGGAAGAGTTCGTGAGAAGAACGAACCATTTTAGGTTGTGTAGATTTTTTTCCCGATTGTGCGAAATCGTATCTCGACAGCAAGGAATGATTACCAGGAAAGGTTGTTGAAGGGCTCGATGGATTGAAAGACTTGAAAGGATCATTTTGACAGTATTTCGTACACAGTGAAAGCCAGGTTTGTTGAATTTCACTTAATGAGGTTTTCTTTTTTCCTCTCTAGGTAAGAACCCAATATCTAAGCTCCCCACAGCGTTCTTCGAAGATTTAGTAAGTTTGGAGAAGTTTTGGTGCGCTTTCTGCAATATGGGCCCGGTTTTGTCAGAGGGATATTTAAAATTCCACAGTCCAGCCTTGAGACAAGTTGGACTTTTCTTCAACAACATTTCAAAACTCGAGAGAGGAGCAATCATAGGTACGTTTCCTACGCCATTTCACTTAATATAGATCTATAAGGCAAGTTAAAGTCGCTCATCGCTTCCTTCAGGTAAATAAAATCCTATCCCTCCTCTGATGACAGGTATAATACAAGGGAAAATCAAATGAAAAGTGTTATTACTTGGTCTGTTTTGTATTACAATTGAAATGGCTATATGTTGCAACATAATCCCCTGACAAAAGAATACACTTGCGCCAACGTGAAGCCAGAGCCAGGATGCTTGCAGAGAAAAAATATTGTGGCTGACTGCACAACCATTCATGCACTGGTGCCTGAACCTCCTCAGTTGACGTGAAATGCCGGCCACCAAGTGCTTGCTTGAGTGACCCAAACAGGTGAAAGCCACTCGGTACCAAGTCCGGGGAATATGGGGGATGTGGCAACGCTTCAAACTTCAACGGACGAATCGCGGTGGATTGCTCTCTAAACGCGTCTGCATCCAGCAGAACAACGCTCGCCCACATACAGCACAAAACACCAGGACAACCCTACAGACGTTGCTGTCTGCAAACATCCAGGTTCTGATTTCACGTTGGCGCAAGTGCATTCTTTGGTCGGGGGATTATGCTGAAAGATAGCACAGCCATTTCAATTGCAATGCAATACTGACCAAGTAATAACACTTTTTCCGGTTTTCTTTTGACTGACCGACGTAGAACTAATATGAATCCGCTTCGCCATGAAACTTTGCAGACTCCCTATGGTCAATCTGCTTCATGTGTGCCAACAATTTCGAAGGCTTCGTCTCGACCATATCATATTTCAACAAAATTTAGCAGAAGGAATAATTATATTTAGAGTCGCGGAAATGCAACACGTCCACTTCAAACGGGGTTGAGAGAAGCTGTTTTGAATTCTGATCACGCAAATTGAAAGGCCTGAACCAAGTGAATTAATTCCCTTGAACTTTGCGCTCAACAAATGTGGGTTTGAACTTCCAACAAGCTGATTAGTAGCTGAAATCGAACTGTAAGGGAGTGATATTTGATATAAACTACTTACTTAATTGATTGCAATAATAACATCATGTTCATACGGTCAATGAGAAAATGTTCTAAGTTCTGCAATAACAATATTCAACAATAACAATATTCAACAATAAAACATCCAGAGTGGGAATTTTGACCCCAATGTTAAGAACTAGAATGTGTCAATGCATACAGTTCATTATCCATGTAAAAATGCTCTTGTGGTGGTGTGATTACAAATTACTTTTTTATATCTGAAAATTTTTTCAGGTTTGCCCTTTTGAAGTATGAGGGAGCGATGAGACTGACCTGAATTTTGAACATCCGGTATCACTTTTCATACACGTCCAAATATATATGAGAATTAAGCTGGTATTTCTGTCAATTTCATTTTTTTTCGTTATTCTTGAATGCTCACGTTCATTCTGCACTGACAACGGTTCGACTCGGTTGGAGAAGAAAGTTTTAAGTCAAAATTACGTACTATCCCTCCCGCCAACAACTTCTTCCATTCCTGGTATCTTTCCGAACAACTGAAATTGGAATAGTGCTTCTAAACTGAATAGTGGAGGAAAAACAGTTACAGTGTGTGAGTAAAAAAAAGAACAGTTCTCAACGATACACTTGATTCCATTCACTGGATATATTTTATTGCAATACATGGGGCATTCGAAAGAGTAATGAATACGCTTTAAAATGGTGTACATACGTTTCAAATATATTCAACAATTTTTGTTTAATTCGGAAGCTCATACGAACGAAAAATAAAGATTGCGTTGCCGCGATCTCAGACGCATACAGCATGTGACTTTCAGCCGCCACCTTCCATCCCTTCAACTACAAAAATGAAAGTTACAGTTAATAAAACAGCAGTTTTTGTTTCCTTTTCATTTAAGCTTCCGAATTTCTGAAACTGTTCAAGATTTTTGACACCGAATCACGCCATTTTAAAGCTAATCCTCTTGTTAATGCTGCAAACCGCAAAAATAATATATACCTAGTAAGGAAAGTGTACTGTGTCGTTAAAAACTGTCCGGTTTTTTGGCCCACCCTGAAGATGTGATTTTCTGCCATTGTTGTTTCTCCCACGAATCTTGGCCGAAAATCCCAAGTGCTCCAGAAAATAGTACCCTTTAATATCTTTAGCATTCAGTTGGTGAATATCACGTGTCTGCCAGGAAATCAAGCCAGTTCTCGTACACCGAATATATTTAATTCTGACTCGAGTCAAAATCAAGTTTGTTTAGCATACATAAGTGGGTCATCAGCATTCACAAAAGATCGAATTCTTTTATGTCCTGAACAAAGAACTTGTAGAAAAAGTTGAACCTCAACGAGAACCAAGGCTCAGTAATTATTCATAAAATATTTGTGATGTGTCCCCGTTCTTCCTAACCCTAATCCGGGCAAGGTGAGTCCGCTGGACTCACTACGACATATTTCGGTATATTACTGTCATTTTTTTTCGTAGAAAAATGAGCTTTCGTGACTCTGTCACCTTATTCGTGCTCTTCAAAAATACAAATACATTTTTGTTGTGCGGCTTTTGTTTACCATAACCGCAGCAAACGGCCTTATTTTACATGTGAGTCTGACACTCACCTTGCCAGGAATAGGATGTAAAAAAGGTTGCCCGGATGAGGGTTAACTGAAACATGCAATCTTTGAATTTCCCGGTCGATCTCATTGGGGGTATATTATTTCACTCCACATTCGGCAAGAACCCTAACTTGCTCAGGTAGCCGGATTTCTTTTTCTTGGCACATGCTTCTAGCAGACTTCGCATGCAGTAATCCATTTGGTTACAATCAGGTTTGTAGAGGGGCCATTTGCATTCTTTAATCATTTCCACCTCATGGTCAACCAGATAATTTTTTGTCATTAAATGTCAATACATTTCAAAGAAAGAGGAATTCGTGTTAAAACAGCCAATGTTGGCCACAAAAGTGATGTACTCATATAGATATGCGAAATATAATTTCTCTTCGATTTTTTATGCATACAGACATGGAAAAGTTATCAGTTGTTTGAATTCTTATGGCCCACCCTGTTGTCTGTTATCCAGTCGTACGAATGGTTTTTAATATGCTCCCTTTTACTGAAACTAGAGACAAGCTCTTTATCGTCGTGGGTCTGTTCCCTTTCATACAGTATCAAGCAAAAAGGAAGTTTGTGTCGATCATAACGATAATATATAAATATTATTTCCCTTGAGTTGCCATTTTTTGCTATATCATATTTTGAAGCCATTTCAGTCATTCATTTATGCATTTCAGTCACTACACTTACCCAAACTCCAAGAAATAATCCTTCCAGGTCTGGCAAATCACACTTCAGTTGTACTTTCCAACAACAAAGTTGCAACTCTACCAAAAGAGGCATTTCACCCTATGCTGAAGAATATCTCACAGGGGAATGGCTCTCTGGATTTGAATGGCAAGTTTTCACTATTAAAAAATCTTCAATTCGTATTTCTGCATCCCTCGTTTCCTTCAAAATGTTACTTTTCACCTTTCTCGCTTTGTAGGAAATTCCATATACTGTGATTGCAATATTGCCTGGCTAGTTGCCGAACTGGCCTTACGCAATGCAGTGACGGAAGGGTATTGTCAAGACGGGACAGATATTCAAATCTTGGATATTGAGGTATTTCGTCGCAGGTGTCACCTTTGTCCACGCAAGTGCATCGAATTAGATATGGCCCCCGCATATTGCGCACGAAAGACGATCATCAAATCTGAGCACGACGATTGCAGTCCTGGGGAATTGTGTTGTGAGACGAAAATCCAAAACGCCGGCAGGAAAGAGAGTGAGTAAAAACTGAAGCATTAAATCCCATACCAGCGAGCCTGTTTGCCATTCGGGACAAACTCAATATGAACGCGCCTTTCGGTACTGTGTGTTCCATAAACGATTACAAATAATACATTTGAAGCATTACTTTTCGATTTTTACACCTACAAATTGAGTAAAACTCATTAGTACTTTTTATTGTGGGTTTAACCCTTTGCGGTCATATTTAATTTCAATGAAAAACGATGAAAACACATTTCAACAAAAGTAAATTATTTATTCAGACTTTCTCAACGAAAAGAAATGATAAATAAAATTGGTAAAAAATATCGTAATAAATGGCAGGAAATAGTACTTTCGTGTGAGTCCGAACAAAGGACGGCGGGCAAAAATGATATATTTGTGATGTCGGGTGACACCCAACATATGACCGGAACTAATCTTTTTTAATGTCGGGTCCTGCCTGACACATGACCGCAAAGTGTTAAGAAACTTCTGCTTTTGTGAAGTCATTTCCAACCTGATGTTAGGAACATGAGTCAAGTAGAAATTCCTTCTTTCCCCTGAATTGTCGCCTTGGAGTTTATCCTCGATACGGAGCCTTCTATTGCAAAACTAAGAAACGGCTTTCTTTGGGTGAACTTGTGCAAGTTTACTTATTCTTCCCCCCCTCCCCAAAAAAAAAGACCTCAAGGATTGCTGAAAAAAAGAATTCCGAGAGCGTTTACAACCAAAACATATGAGCCCAGGTGGCGTGTACGATAAAATTAAGCTGTACATGAATTCATTTATTCCAGACATATTAAAAAGCTCATTTGCTTAAAGTCAAAATTATTTATGTAAAAACTTCCCCCCCCCCCAAAAAAAAACTATGCCCCAGAGGCATATATTTAAATTCAAAATTTTCTTTAAATTAGCATGTCAGTAACCACGTTTGCATTGATTTTCAACTTTCCATGTCTGTCCCTTTCACTGAAAAAAAAAATCACATAAAATGTCTCCATGAATAACTGTGCCCATATTCATAATGAAATTGAAAATTTTGCTGGAAATCAACACTTCAATAGGAACTTGGGTGTCCATTTTCAATTTTCTACATCTTTCCGAAGGCGCGACATTTGCGAGTTTGTTTGCCCAAAGGCAAACAATCTCCCTGAACTGCATGCCACCAAATTTCAGCCTTATACGTTTCCACTTTTTGCTGGTGGAAAAAAATGTATTTGGAAAAGCGACCCAACCAAAAACTGTGCTCTGAGGAGATGTATCAAAAAAGTTTAATTTTTCGTTAAATAAACATCATGTCAGTGATGCGTGCGCCAGCTACTTTTCTTTGGGGGCATGTAGTTCATTGGGTAGACATAACCCAATGAACTACATGCCCCCAAAGTTTCATTATGATCCGTTTGCCCTTTTCGCTGGTGAAAAAAATGCGTGTAAAAGCTGGCCCACCCACGGGAAATACGGGAAAAGGTCGGTCCCCAAAAATATGCCACCAGGGCAGCGACCTAAAAGTTTTCATTTTTCCTGAACTCCTCGTCTCGGTAGGCACGTCCATGCCAGGTTTCAGCTTTCCATGCATCTCCGTTTTATGCAAGGAAATATAATATTATGGAGAGGCAATGAATAACGGAACATGGAAGGCAAGAGAAGATAAAAAAAGAGCCCTGGAATGGCTGGGATTTGAACTTGGGACTCCCGAATGCCGGTCAGGTGTGCTACCGTTACACCACCGTTCTACACCACCCCCGCTCGCGGCCATTCTCATCAACATTTAGCTTTAAAAACTTCTCCCCCCAAAATGTGTACTCCCAGGGCATGTACCTCCAAAGTCTGAATTTTTCTGAACTCTGCACCCCAAAAGGTACATGTGTACCAAGCTTCAGATTTCTAACCTTCCTGAACATGGCAGTCATTCAGTCAGTTACGATCGTCTATATATATCTTTAAAAACGTTTCCACGTTTTTAAAGATCCACTTTTATCCACTTTCTACCACCCTCTGTTTTGCTGAATCAGCAAATTTGTGAAAATTTGGAAAATATCTGCCCTCGGGCGTTTTAACGGAAAAGTACTTTTTTTTTATCAAAATCAAACCTCAGTGAACTACATGCCCACCAAGTGTCAATCTTATACGTTTGCCCTTTTCGCTGGTGAAAAATCATGTTAGGTAAAGCCGACCCACCCAAAAGCTAAGCCCGGAGGGAAGGCACCATGAAAGCTGAATACTCCCTCAGCTCAATAATATCACGTCACTTATACGTCTGCCAAGTTTCACCTTTCCATTCATATTCAATTCGCCACTGTAATTTCTCTCTTTTTTTAACATCGCCCCCTTGAGAAATTTTCCCCCGGCGATGTATCAAGACTTAACATTTTTCGTTAACTCCTTATCTTGGTAGCGACATTCCTGCAAAGTTCCAGCTTTCCGTATCCATCCTTTTAATTAATGCAAGCAATTTAAGTAAAAAAATCTCCCTTTGAAATTTATTCCCCCAGAGCATTTCATTCCAAAGTCTGAATTTTTCTGCACGCAGCATCCCGGTAGGTAATTATGTACCAATTTTCTTCTTTCCACACTAGCTCAATACACCAGGACAAAAAAGAAATACTTGAAAACGTAGGCCCCCAAAAATATGCCCCCAGGGCATGGATCTAACATTTTTCATTTTTTCTGAACTCATCGTGTCGGTAGGCGCATCCATGCCACGCTTCAGCTTTGCATGTCTGTCCGTTTCATTCAAGCAACGGGACATGGAAGGCAAGAGAAGCCAAAAAAAAGGCATGGGATGGCCGGGAATTGAACCCTGGCCTCTCGATTATCATTTTCATGTGCACTACACCACCGAAACGGTGACATGCAGTGGCATCTTTCGATGACATCCTTATCCATCACGATATATATTTACAAAAAACTTCAACCCCCAAAATGTGTACCCCCAGGGCATGTACCTCCAAAGTGGGATTTTTTCTGAACTCTGCACCCCAAAAGGTACATGTGTACGAAGTTTCAGATTTCTAACCTATCTGGAACATGGTTCGAATTAGCGTCAGTCAGTCAGTCACGATCGTCTATATATATTAGATGAAAGTAGAATTGTTTCTTTACCCCGCTATTCATCTGGTACTTCTTTGCCAAGTTTAAACTTTCTAGCACCCTCCTTTTTGCTGGATTAGAAAATACAGGAAAATTTGCAAAATCAGGGCCCTAGGGCGTTTTAACCGAAAAGTACCATTTTTCCCGAAATCAAACCTCAATGAACTACATGCCCACAAAGTTTTAATTTTATACGTTTGCCCTTTTAGCTGGTGAAAAATCATGTTTGGAAAAGCCGACCCAACCAAAAGCTATGTCCGAACGGGATGCACAATGAAACTTGAATACTCCCCAAACTCAATAATATCATGTCACTTATATGTGTGCCAAGTTTCACTTTTCTATTTCTGTCCAATTCGCCACGACAAAATTTGTTATTTAAAACATCGCCGACGAAAAAATTCTTCTAGGGGATGTATCGAGACTTGACATTTTCCTTTAACTCCATGTCTCAATAGTCACATTCATACAAAGTTTCAGCTTTCCATGTTCATCGGTTTAACTAATGCAATAAATTATTGAAAACATCTCCTTTTGAAATTTGTGCCCCAGGGACATTTACTTCCAAAATCTGAATTTTTCTGTGCACAGCATCCCGGTAGGAAATTTTTACCAAGTTTCATCTTTCCACACTAGCTCAATGCACCAGAACAAAAAAAACTTGAAAACGTCGGCCCACAAACATGTCTTCCCTACAAGCACGAAGCCTTGCATTCCGACTAGCCTTTTTGATCCGAGTGCTACTCCAGAGGAGTCCCCATCCATCACAAGACACTTCCCTATATATCTTTGGGTCAGCATGTGGTCTTCCGCCAACAAATAGAGGCGTCTTCCTCAATACAACAATAGAATCAGGAACACTCCCCAGATTTACTGAGTCTGCAATCAAAGTTTGATTCTCACTAGATCTTAGAGGCAATCCACACGATATTTCCCATGTCCTCTAATCATTAGTACAACTGAAACCCAACATCTTCTTTAACTCACTACCAACGTCACCATCTCATGCTTGGATGAACAATTCCTGGATAGAGTCGACAACTATACCAATCACAACAGCACTCACCAACACATTGCATAGAGACATTTCCATTGACAAACATGATGAAGAAAACTTTCCCACCAGAAAAATCAGACACAATCAAGTCCCTATCATCAGTCTTCTACATGGGAATACCTGACAAGGAAAAACCAGTCCACCTAGAAATTATGTCGAAAGAAACAATTTATGACATGGCACTTCAAATAGCCTTCCAAAAGAAAAATGTTTACACCCCCCTTCATCACTTTCAAAAAATCATTCCCGGATTAGCAAAATTTGTTCCAGTATGGAAAGGGATAGATCACCATGAAGAAGGAAAGATGGTGACATCAGCTGGAGGCTGGTTCATAATAACATTGTTTCCCTAATACTAAAATCCCGGATAGATACAACCACATCACCAAGAAATCCCTATTGTGATGACGATGGAACTTTGATGCACATGTTCTTTGAATGTAAACAGCGAAATAATTCATGGGACTTTCACAAGGAAACATTGCATATTATTTCAACTGACATTGTATTGAACATAAACATGTGCATGTTTCACACTTTTCCACAACGTTCCATCCTCTCAAAAAATAATTCATCTTTAAGATTTAAGATATTAAGATTAAGATTTCCTTCTGGTGCTCTTGAAAAGTAAGATCTGTCAGTCATGCATGAGTTTTTATTCCCAAGCAGGAAGGAAGGAGGAAGCAGAGTATCTCAGGATGATAAATGACTTGGAAAAACAAATAGAAGAAAATCAAGACCGGTATTATGAATTGACGATGAATGTTACAATAATCGCTAAAGATTTGGAGTATTCGGCTACAAATGATGGTGGGTATTTTTTCATTACTCAGCTAGCTATTAGGTTCTTCTTTCCAAAGTTTAAACTTTCTAGCGCCCTCTGTTTTGCTGGTTCGAGAAAATTCAAGAAAATACGCCTTTTGCAACATATATGCCCTGGGGCGATTTAACAGAAAAGTACATTTTTTTAATACCGAAAACAATCCTCAGAGAAATACATGCCCACAAAGTTTCAACCATTTACGTTTACCCCTTTTGCTAATGAAAAAACATGTTTGCAAGAGCAGACCCACAAAAAAGCTATGCCAGGTGGGTATGCACCATGAAAGCTGAATACTAACTCAACTCAATAATACCATGTCACTTATAAATGTGGCAAGTTTAACCCTTTCTATTTCTGTCCAATTCGCCCGATAAAATTTGTTATTTAAAACATCGCCTCCGAAAAAATTCCCCTAGGGGATGTATAGAGACTTGACATTTTTCTTTAACTCCATGTCTCAATAGTCATACTCAATACTCAAAAATCATTCCAGGATTAGCCAAATTTGTTCCTGTATGGAAAGGGTTCTACAGATCAACAAGAAGAAGGAAAGATGGTGACATCAGCTGGAGGCTGGTTCATAATAACATTGTTTCCCCAATCCTAAAATCCCGGATAGATACAACCACATCACCAAGAAATCCCTATTGTGATGAGGATGGAACTTTGATGCACATGTTCTTTGAATGTAAACAGCTAAATAATTCATGGGACTTTCACAAGGAAACATTGCATATTATTTCAACTGACATTGTATTGAACATAAACATGTGCATGTTTCACACTTTTCCACAACGTTCCATCCTCTCAAAAAATAATTCGTCTTTAAGATTTAAGATCTTAAGAATAAGATTTCCTTCTGGTGCTCTTAAAAAGTAAGATCTATGAGTCATACATGAGTTTTTATTCCCAAGCAGGAAGGAAGAAGGAAGCAGAGTATCTCAGGATGATAAATGACTTGGAAAAACAAATAGAAGAAAATCAAGACCGGTATTATGAATTGACGATGAAGGTTACAATAATCGCTAAAGATTTGGAGTCTTCGGCTACAAATGATGGTGGGTATTTTTTCTTTACTCAGCTAGCTATTAGGTTCTTCTTTCCAAAGTTTAAACTTTCTAGCGCCCCTTGTTTTGCTGGTTCGAGAAAATTCGAGAAATTACGCCTTTTGCAATGTATATCCCTTGGGGCGATTTAACGGAATAGTACATTTTTTAATACCGAAAACAATCCTCAGAGAACTACAGGGTGTTTCATTTAAATTGTACATCTTTGAACGCTCATATCTCTGAGAGGACGCAACCGTTCTTTGCGAAATTTGACCACAATATAGAGCAACCGTTGCCAAATTATTACACAGAGTTTCTTAATCGCAGCGCCATCTATTGAGTTGAAACACCGATTCTGACAAAACCTCTGAAACCAAGATCTTATGAACTTGATGAAATCTTTTAAAGCTCATCATTCGTTAGAGAATGCCTTGATCCAGTGGTGCTGAAAATTTCATGATTGTATCTCATCTCCTTACTAAGATATCAATCGTGAAACCTTAGCCACTTAACCCATCCGCTTACACTTAATACTCAATGCCATGGATTTTCCCGATGTTTTGGCCTGAGCCCCTGTTACCATCGCCCTGACGCATGAGGCCTACGGCGCAAGGCTATGACGGCTTTAGCGTTACCCAGGATGAACCATCGTGGAGGTAGCCGTCGTTCATCCCATGGGGAGTTTTTGGAAGTGGTTCCCCTGCCTCCACGTCATCCACCATCAAGAATTCACAATCAGCAGATTATCCTTTGTGAAGCTTAATTTGCTTACCCTCAATCTCGATGCANAGGTGATGGTTTGGGCGGGGGTATCTTCAACCAGTAAGGTTGGACCGATCTTCTTTGATCAGCCGATAACAGGTGCCACCTACCTGCGAATGATGAGCTTTAAAAGATTTCATCAAGTTGATAAAATCTTTGTTCCAGAGATTTTGTCAGAATCGGTGTTTCAACTCAATAGATGGGGCTACGATTAAGAAACTCTGTCTAATAATTTGGCAACGGTTGCTCTATATTGTGGTCAAATTTCGCAAAGAACGGTTGCGTCCTCTCAGAGATATGAGCGTTCAAAGATGTACAATTTAAATGAAACGCCCTGTACATGCCCACAAAGTTTCAACCATTTACGTTTACCCCTTTTGCTAATGAAAAAACATGTTTGCAAAAGCAGACCCACCCAAAAGCTATGCCAGGCGGGTATGTATCATGAAAGCTGAATACTCCCTCAACTCAATAATACCATGTCACTTATAAATGTGGCAAGTTTAACCCTTTCTATTTCTGTCCAATTCGCCACGACAAAATTTGTTATTTAAAACATCTCCCACAAAAAATTCCCCTAGGGGATGCATAATGACTTGATATTTTTCTTTAACTCCCTGTCTCAATAGTCATACTCAATACTCAAAAATCATTCCAGGATTAGCCAAATTTGTTCCAGTATGGAAAGGGTTCTATAGATCAACAAGAAGAAGGAAAGATGGTGACATCAGCTGGAGGCTGGTTCATAATAACATTGTTTCCCAATCCTAAAATCCCGGATAGATACAACCACATCACCAAGAAATCCCTATTGTGATGACGATGGAACTTTGATGCACATGTTCATTGAATGTAAACAGCTAAATAATTCATGGGACTTTCACAAGGAAACATTGCATATTATTTCAACTGACATTGTATTGAACACAAACATGCGCATGTTTTACACTTTTCCACAATTTCCATCCTCTCAAAAAATAATTCATCTTTAAGATTTAAGATCTTAAGATTAAGATTTCCTTCTGTTGCTCTTGAAAAGTAAGATCTATGAGTCATACATGAGTTTTTATTCCCAAGCAGGAAGGAAGATGGAAGCAGCGTATCTCTGGAGGATAAATTACTTAAAAGAACAAATACAAGAAAATCACCACCACATGTACGAGATGAAGATGTTGGTTGAAGAAATCCGTGAATATTGGGAGTCTTCGGCTACAAATGATGGTGGGTATTTTTTCTTTACTCAGGTAGCTATTAGGTTCTTCTTTCCAAAGTTTAAACTTTCTAGCGCCCTCTGTTTTGCTGGTTCGAGAAAATTCGAGAAAATACGCCTTTTGCAATATATATGCCCTGGGGGGTTTTAATCGAGAAGTACATTTTTTAATACCGAAATCAATCCTCAGAGAACTACATGCACACAAAGTTTCAACCATTTACGTTTACCCTTTCACTAATGAAAAAACATGTTTCCAAAAGCAGACCCACCCAAAAGCTATGCAGACGATGGAACTTTGATGCACATGTTCTTTGAATGTAAACAGCGAAATAATTTATGGGACTTTCACAAGGAAACATTGCATATTATTTCAACTGACATTGTATTGGGCATAAACATGTGCATGTTTCACACTTTTCCACAACGTTCCATCCTCTCAAAAAATAATTCATCTTTAAGATTTAAGATCTTAAGATTAAGATTTCCTTCTGGTGCTCTTGAAAAGTAAGATCTATCAGTCATACATGAGTTTTTCTTCCCAAGCAGGAAGGAAGAAGGAAGCAGAGTATCTCAGGAAGATAAATGACTTAAAAAAACAAATGCACGAAAATCACCACCAGATGTATGAGATGAAGATGTTGGTTGAAGAAATCCGTGAATATTGGGAGTCTTTGGCTACAAATGGTGGGAACCTGACATTCCATGTGGACTTGGAGACATGAAAATTCATTATATGATGTTTTTTTGCATATTAAGGTTTTATTCCATTGTTAAAATGAAGTCCATTTGAAAACCCAAAAATATTCCCCCAGGGTACGGATAAAAAAAGTTGAATTTTTTCATGAACTCATCGTGTCGGTTGGCACGTCCATGCCACGTTTCTACATGTCTCTCCGTGTTCATGTGACATGTTCTCTACATGTCTCTCCGTTTTATTCAAGCAACGGCACATGGAAGGCAATAGAAGCCAAAAAAAGGCATGGGATGGCAGGGGAATTGTATCTGGACCTCACGATTACCGGTCAGATGTGCTATCACTACACCACCGAAACGGGGACGTATGGTAATAACTCTCGATGACATCCTCATCCGTCATGATATACATTGAAATAAAACTTTCCCCCCCCCCTCCCAAAATGTGTACCCCCACTGCATGTACCTCCAAAGTCGGATATTTTCTGAACTCTGCACCCCAAAAGGTAAATGTGTACCAAGTTTCAGATTTCTAACCCTTCTAGAACATGGTTAGAATCAGCGTCAATCAGTCAATGAAAATATAACTTTTGCTCTACTCAGGTAGCCATAAGGTTCTTCTTTCCAAAGTTTAAACTTTCTAGCGCCCTCTGTTTTGCTGGTTCGATAAAATACGCCTTTTGCAATATATAGGGTAACTTGGGGGAATATGGACATTGGGGTAATATGGCCTTTCACAAGGAATCCCCTTATAGACTGAATAATTAGTTTGGGCGAATTTAAAAAATATTCCTATCGAAGAGTACATCCAATTGTCGAAATGTGTAGACCTGTTCATCAATCCAGTTCCCACAGGAATTCGGGATACATCGATGTCTTAAAAGTCATATGCATACGATTCTTTGACTCATGACCGTGGAACTAATATGAGCCTTGAGCAACATAAGAGTATATTTCCTAATAGCAGCATGGATACAGAAGCAATTACTTCTAAGTTCTTCTAAGATCTCTCCAGAATGCTTGTGCAAAGTGTTAGCCCCTTCACTTGCGGTTTCTAGGCAGTGTTGTCAATTTTTTAATGCGAGCCAATATGGGGAAATATGGCCATCTCGATTTGGGGTAATATGGACACATCCTTCATTTCATGTTAGCACCGCACAGACCTATAGATACTGTCTGCTTCCTTTCGTGTGGGATCTCAGACTGCAAGAGATCATCCAATGCACTTCCTCTGGATATATGGATAGACGTACTGGACATCTGGACGAAATATGCAGTACATGAGGAGGCCGTGCATGAGGGTATGCTTATGCACCTCCTTCTGCATCGCTTGACATTCTCCAGAAATTTTTGTTGCACGAAACTTGAATGCAAGTAAATATCCCTCGTAAAAATAGGACATT